TCTTTTCACAGGGGGGGTAAGTTACACTTTAAATACACTAACCTCACTCCTTTGTAACAATAAGGCAAAAATGTAATTAATTCAGAAAATCTTTTCAGGACCCCACTTTGATGTTTCGGGACCCCACTTTGGGTCCCGACCCCAACTTTGGGAAACACTGCTCTAGAACAACAATTTATATAGATACACCTTATACTGTTTCATATTTCTTTAGCAATCCAGCTTTTATCATTTTCTTAAATGTACATAATGATCCTGCCTTTTTTACATCACTCCCCAAATTATTCCATAGATTTATTCCTTGAATTAAAGTACACCCTTCCTTCAAACTGGTTCTGAATTTGGGTTTTACAAATATCTTTGCCCCTTTAAGGTTATAACAACTCTTTCACTTAACAAGATTTACTTGGATGTTTAAAGGTAATGTGTTTTTGTGGGCCTTATACATAACCAGTAGAATATTATTATCAACCAAATCAAAGAACTTCAATATTTCCAATTTATAAAATAATGAATTTGATGGGTGACGACAATGTTTTCCAGTAATAATTCTCACAGCTCTTGTAAGACGAGCAGAGAATGCAAAATTAGTGACACCAATAATTTGTAAAGATTGTAAAGACAAGCAGCAAAGTGAAAAAAATGTGGATTGTTTTTCCTCCTGCAGTCGAAGCCTAGCGACATAGCAAAAGGACTCCTGCAGCAGTATTTTAGCTTAACTGAAGCCTTTTTACAGTCTTTAGAAAGGCAGTACTTAATATTTTGTGTTCGAACATATTACTATTACTGTTACTTATTTTATATAGCATCAGTTTAGATGCTCCCCCACAACTCTGCAGAGAAAASATATTAAATAAAATGGATGGATCAATTTTTATTTGTATTCTATTTGACTATAATTTTTTAAGACTCTTGCTTGAAAATCTCTTTTTGCAGACCACTGAATATTAATTCAAGCCCACTGATGTAGCACACTCAATTCTACATGATGTATTACAACAGCCAGTAAAGGTTACAGGAAATACCTTCAACTTTCTTATTCTGTTCGAACTAATGCTGATTTTGTAAATGATCACTAATGAGTTTGTGTCTGTGAGATTTTTTATTAATTTTTTCCTGTTATGGTGCATCACTCATATTGCTTCTCAGGGCAGCTCAGAGCACAGACCCATCCCTGGAGGCAAGAACGTGCTGCTAATTACTCTGGTGTATTTCGTCTGAAGTTGTGGTGTATTCCCTGTGGAACTGGGGGCAGAGAAGGGAGGTCTAGAAAGATTATTAGTACATTCAGTTAGACCAAACACTGTATGGTGCACTGCATGGTGAGAATTCAATAACATTTATAGTGATTTATTCATTTTATCTTGGTAAGACCTTTGCATTAAACTGGCATTATCTGGAAGTCGCTGGAAACAAGAGCGAGTGTAGATCTTTCATGACTGGAATTCTGAGCGTGACCTTGCAGTTTGTGTGAATAGTGATGACTTGGTTTTAATTGATAACTTTGATTTAACATCAGAAGATTAGATTTAGGCTTGATGGGGGTGAAGTGGGTGTAAGAGAACAGAAACTACCTTAAATTTAGGCTTAAATTAGCCTGGAATCCAACAACCCACAACCCATCTAAGCTCAAAGATGAACACACCCACACTTCATTGAGTTTCAGCCGGGARGAACTTTTGTTTTTCTCCTCCGACCTGAAGGTTCAGTATCACCAACTCATTGTGAGTCACAGGACTGCTTCTCTGACAAAAAAGGCTCACCCAGTCCTGCTAACACAAAGGCCCAGCAGAAGGAATGCACATTGCCTTGCCCCCCCATGCTATAATTTTAACCTAAGATCATTGTTGATCAGTTCTGGCCATTTTTTTAAACCTTCTGAATAATTTTATGAGCACTCTCATACAGTATTGTAAGATGTCATTCTCAGAATATGTGCTGTGGATAACTCTCAGGCACTACCACATCAAATTTCAGCTCAAGATCTGTAAAAGTGAGTTCTAGCCATTTTTGTGGCTTTAAAGGTCAGTTGGTTGTGGCAGCCATTTTGAATTAGTTGACTCTGAAAGATAATCAATTCCCAGTGGACGGTGATTAAACATTCTCTTCATATTTATAACATTTTCATACTAGACACACAGAGACACGGACAGCTACTGTATTGTCTGCCTTTGCCTTTTGGTGGTGGGCGATAATGAATCTTTCCAAAAAGCTAATCAAATTCAAAAGCACAAAGCACTGTCATCTTTCTACATCTTAGCCCTTTGAAGAAGTCTGTTAGTTACCAGGTTATATCCAGTTCATCCTTGATCTCAGGAAAATGTCTACACTTCTCTACCAGTCCACAGAGAGGCTTAGCCTTTGATCTGTTTTCATGTTAGTCAACTTAGTTTATTGGATTTAGAAATGATGCTGATCTTGCTTATCATTAAAATCACTTCTGAGCATTCCTCATGACATGTGGTAGAAACTGCTTGCACACAGTGTTGGGGTTTTCTTCTTGTTTTCAGCAGAAAGGGCTATCTGTGTGTTCCTCTGGACTGATTGGTTCAGGYTTGCTTTGAGTTTGCAGGTTAACTCTGACGGCGCCTCATCAGTCATTCACAATGCCTGCCTTAAATGTTGCTTTGACATCAACCAGAGTGACTTTTACATCGCATGACTCACACCGAGAAGGTCTGAAGTCCGATGAGTCAGCACATATAAAAGGGCAAAGAAATCAGTCAAATGCGAGTCATTTTTGTAAAATGTAGCACTATCCCCATGGTGAGTCAGTGAAAAGACACATTCTCACTCTCATTTCTTCACACGCTGAGAATGTATCTGTTCCAACACATCAAGCTGATAATGTTACAAGTAAAAAAATTAACGTTAGGTCTCTTTTTTACAGGATTTAAAATCTGGTAAATGACGTGGTGTTTTTATTGGTCTTTACAGCCAAAAGGCAAACGATAATGTTCTTGCTTGTGTATKTGTGTGTATTTGTTTGTCTGTCTGTAAGCAAAAAATTATCATGAACCAATAGACTCATTTTTCTTTCCTCAGGTGATTAGAATGTTGAACAGTCAGTAATACAATGTTCTGTCCATCCCACCACACTATCAGCTCTCAATGCACAAATACATTTTAAGATAATACGCATAGTTATAAACATATCTGTACATTAACTTGGTAATAMTATATGTTTACGTTCATAACACCAGTTATTGTGTACAGTGTAAGTCTATTCTATTTTTATATAGACCAAGTTCTTTTATATATGTATATATATTTTAATGTTTCTTCTAATCTTTTTTAGTATGTTTTTATATTGTGATCTGCATATACTGTATGTGGGAATTAGCACTCAAGTCTTTCTCTCGCCTGTACGCTTGTGCTATGTGATGTGACAATAAATCTGAACTGAACTAATTAAACTTTCAGAAAATAATAATAGAATGGACATCTACAACTGTTTGGGTTTTCTTGTCCAATTCAAGATGACCACCCTACCTAATCAGAATTAGACACCAAATCAATTATTATAAATCATTAARTCTTGCAGATAATAACCCAAAATTAGATGTAGTTGTAGCTGAAAGTTGTTTGCAAAACATACCCTAAACACGACATCCAGAAAAATGAATCGAGAAATATTTCTCAATTTTGACAAAAACAGATATCCACAATTTAGCTATATAAGATATTTTTTTATGCCATGAAAGGCTGTAGGCAATGTGCATTCCTTCAAGGATAGCAAAGTTTTTTTTTTACTTTTTTTTCTGCAGGGCACAAAAGCTTTGATCCATGATGGGCTTGTATTGTCTTTGTGCATATAATTACGTATTAAAAGTTGCATTGCATCACCTCTACACTCTTGAAATTCAAGTATTTTTAGCACAGGAATCTTTGGATTGATGTGGCTGAATGTCATCTACCGGTCATTTTGAAATGGAGTGATTGTTTAAAACGATTTATTTGATTCATGTGTTCTGAAAAACTCAATGATCTTTTTTTTCTCTCTGTCTCTTTTCTCACCCTCTCCCTCTGCCCCTGCCTCTGACTTCACAGATATCACACACCGAAATGCAGCCCCGTATCATTTTCATCGGCTTGTTTCTCACTGCGGCTCAATCCCAAGATATCCATCCCTTAAAGCCATCATCCTCCATCAGTGAGTCTTGTGACTCCTTGTGCTCCTGTGAGGCGAAAGATGGGATCCTTCATCTCAACTGCGAGCAGAGGAACATCAGCAAAATCTCCCAAATCACAGTCCCGTCAGGTGTCCCTTTCCATCTGAACCTTTACAAAAATGACTTGGTCGAGCTCCRTGCCGAGGAAATGGAAGGGCTTAGGAATGCCCTTTCGCTGCACATCGGGGGTAATAGCATACAAGAGCTGGAGCCAGGGGTCTTTAGCACTCTTGGTTCACTGAAAAAGCTCCACATAAATAGCAATTTTCTTGTCACGCTGAAAGAGGACACTTTTCAAGGCCTGGTGAATTTAGAGTTTCTTCAGGCTGACACAAATTTCATTCGGGTCATCGAACCTGGGGCCTTCAACAAACTGATACGACTCAAAGTCCTGATTCTCAACGACAATTCCATTGAGTTTTTACCCAGCAACATTTTCCGCTTTGTGCCCCTCACGCACCTGGACCTGAGGGGAAACAAGCTCCAGACGCTTCCTTATGTGGGGTTTTTGGAGCACATAGGACGAATAATGGAGCTTCTCCTGGAAGACAACGACTGGGTGTGCGACTGTGACATTTTACATTTGAAGATCTGGATGGAGAACATGAGGGCCCAGTCTGTCATCGGTGACGTGGTTTGCGGCTCGCCGCAGCACCTTAAGGGAACCATTCTCGCTAAAGTCAAGCGGGATGTTCTGTGCCCGTCTCATGCTGACATTAATTTAGAGGAACCGTCAAAGTCACTGGATATGGTCGTTACTCAGATTCCAAAGCTGATCAATGTGGAAAATGATCCCAGGCTGCCAACTCCGTCTTACAATTCTGGCAGTCCCTGTGTGGAGCACTGCACGTGTCACAATCATCCCGTGGCTGGCTTTCTGATGCACTGTCAGGACCGAGGAATTCAGAAGGTGTCCGATATTGGAATACTTCAAGAAAGCCCCACCAAACTGGTCATGACAGGAAATATGATTCAGAAACTCTTAAAATATGATTTTGTCACGTACGACAGCTTGGAACTGCTCAACTTGGCAAACAACAGAATCGATTACGTCGACAATGAAACTTTCCTCAGCCTGAGCAGCCTAAAGAAGCTGTATTTGAAYGGCAACAGAATAGAAAAGCTGTTCTCCACGATGTTTGTGGGACTCCACAACCTTGAATATCTGTATCTGGAATATAATGTCATCAAAGAGATTGCTCCGGGCACGTTTAATCCCCTGCCAAACCTGAAGCTGTTGTCATTAAATAACAACCTGCTGAGCTCTCTTCCAGCTCAGATATTCCGCAACGTGCCCCTCACCAAATTAAACCTCAGAAAAAACCTGCTCATGCACCTGCCAGTGAGCAACGTGCTCGATCAACTCGACTCGCTGGAGCAGATTTATTTAGAGGAGAACCCTTGGGACTGCAGCTGTGACTTGCTCAGCCTTAAACAATGGCTGGAGAAGCTGAGAAAGGATACAGTGGTGGGCTCCATTTTGTGTCACACCCCAAAGAAAGTGATCCAGCTCGAGCTGCGGAGCCTTCATCATGAGACACTTTGTCCCGGTTTAGGGACATACCACCCAGTGTCTCAAGGTGGGGAGGAAAGCGTAACGGCCACGTTACAACCCAATAACAAGAGTTTGTTTATTTCGCTCACTGACACAATCCCACTCTCTGTGCTCATATTAAGCCTCCTCATTTTTGTCCTCATGATTATATTCTGCTCRGCTGGACTTGTGGTGTTCGTGGTGCATCGGCGGCGGCGGAGGGCAAAGAAAAAAGCAGCAGAGGAAGCGCCGCGAGAAAACACCACCAGCAGCTCTCCCATTCACTTGCATTACAGCATGTACGGGCAGAAAACAACACACCACACGGTGACGCAAAGAAGCGGGACCGCCACCTTGTACGACGACAGATCCCACAGCCCCATCGTGCAGATCTGTCGCAACCCCACCTAYTGCTCCCAGCACAAGGGGCACGACACAAATCTGGATTACAGCTTGGAAGATCCCAGCACCAAGCACCACCTCTGCCGGAGTCTCATGGAGAAGGAGAACACKTCACCTCTAACCGGAAACCCCAGCTCAAAATTCCGAACCATACCCGAAGAGTGCCCTGTGGAGTTCGTCACCCTCGGGACSCCCAGCTCCTTGTACCGGAACATTCTGGAGAGGGAAAAGGAGCTGCAGCAGCAGCTCGGAATAACTGAGTACTTCAGGAAAAACATGCCCCAGCTCCAGCCTGCCGTCGACATGCAGGTCCCCGGGCACCAGGAGGAACTAAAGCTAATGGAGACAATAATGTACACACGACCACGCAAGGTCATGCTCGAGCAAACTAAGAACGAGTACTTTGAGCTTAAAGCCAACCTCCACTCTGAACCAGACTACTTGGAGGTTCTGGAACATCAAACTGCATTTAACTGAGCTGAAGTAGTAAAGACAATTATCATGTTTGAACCAAGTGCCTTACCCTGTTCGCCCAGTTGTACTTTCCACAGTGTGAAATGTATAAATATATAAAAAATTATATATATATCATGGGCACATTTTACTTTAACCGTAGCACAGAATGTAACTGGTTTGTTACTTGTCATCTTTCGACAGCCATGTTATGTAGTTGCTGTCAGATTCTCAGCCAAATGTAACTCAGACGAAGCTGTTGCCGTTTGTTGAGCAGGCTTAGGGGTTGAAACCCACTGTGAAATCCACTCAATCAGCTTTTTTTTACATATGATTAAATTTTCATGGTGTTGCAGCGGCCAAGTGAATTGATCCACATAGCACACTCCCTCCCCCTCCCTTTTCCCTCTCAGACGTTCCTCGCAGGATAAAGCAGATGTTTGGAAGAATCGAGTGAATTTCAATCAGTGCTTGACCCAGAATTGTGCTTAATCAGTCGATCCTGATTCTGGCCGTGACCTGATTACACCCCCTGTCAACCCCCCCTCCCAGATGCAGCTTTTAAAGCTGGAACAAGAATGCTCATTGTGCCGTAGAGTCAGCAAATTGTACAGCCAAGTGTACATTGAAAAACAGCGATAGGAGCGCAGTTCTACTGCTGTCCTCCTGACAGATGATTGATCCAACACACTGCAGAGCTGCAGTCGGAGGAATTTTATTTTTATACAAGCTAGGTTATATTCACATGAAAGTTTTTTTTTTATTTTTCTTCCCTTTTCTTTCAGTCAGAAAGTGGAGCACTTGAAGTGCAGTATATACACGACTTGTAAAAATGCATTGCACTACTCGAATGCCATAAGATGGTGCATGACAATCAACAGAGTCCTGCTGAAATGTTTTTGTTTTTCTTTCTGCTAGAAGAAATGAGCCTCTGAAGCGTGTGGTCATTTAGTTTGTGTGTGTGATGCCATTATTTAATGTCAAAGACATGGAATAGGATTCAGGAACATGGCCCCAGTTCATTCGAGGCGGGGCGCATTTTAACAATGAACAACGATCCAAACATCTTCCACCTGAAAACAAACGACGCCTCTTTGCTTTTCAAATTAAAAGCATTCGACGGCAGAAAACGGATGGTGCGTAGATGTTGTCATTGTTCATTATCGTACTTGGACAAGGTTCCAAACAGTTCACAGAAGCACACACTCTGTAGCTTTTCTACTTAACTAGATAGAAATATTTATTCTGTATATTTTGTATATACGTCTAGTATATCTTTGGGTTTTGTGTGCCTTCGGTGCTGTACAGAATCTAAACAGAAGTTGTAACTGAAAAAGGAAATAAAGAGTTGAAATATGTGAATTTTTTGGGGAGTAATTTTCACGCACACAACGGTACAAGAATTTCAACCCTGCTGCTTCTCAGCAGCGCACCGCTTCTCCACTAATTAACACACTAGGTACCTGGAGCTGCAAAAAGACATTTTCTCTCTCTAGTTGTTATCTGTCCTCTCCAGTGTTACTGTATATTCACGCGCATGTACATGTTTTAAGCACCATTTGGTTCATTTCCTGCTGTGTGGATAATTTGGACCCCCCACCGATGGCCCAAACTCGATCCTTAATCACACAACAGTGGCTTTAAAGTCTTTTCCACTCTTGCTTTTCTTCACAACTCCAATTTCCCTTTTCTTCCTGAAGAGAAAACAAAGCAAACTCTATTTTTGATAGAACTGATGAATATAAAGTTTTTTGTTGCAAGAACACTTGTAGCCCTTCAATTTTATTGACAATCAGGCATGAGGCATTCAAAAACAAAAAGATTCTCTGCAGAGAAAAACATCTTCATATATTCCCAAAGCAAATACACTATTTAAGCAAAACAACCAGTCCATTCAAAGCAGCAGAGAAAACATTTTACCTTCTAGTGTTCAATTTAGAGAGTTTTATATGTAAAATCAGCCACATCAAAGGTGGAATATTAGCTAAGTGCATATCTGTTTTTTTTTTGCCTAATGGACTAAATTTTGGGCTAAAACTATTCRATCAACAACACCTTGGCATTTGTTTAAGATAATAAATAAATGCTGAAAAGTAGGGAAAATAAAGTTTGTAACATTTGGCAAAAAAGGTTTTAAACATTTTATCAGAACCAGTAAAATGATCAAATATAGGAGGAAATTCAAAGGATTTAATAATGTACTTCATGGTCATGTGTTAGGCTAGATACTGGACACATTTAAATTTGGGACCATCTACACTAACAAGGATATTAACATTAACATTATTAACATGTTTCTTGACCTTTTTTTTCTTTGTCCACACAATTATAACCTAATGCTAAAATGTTCAGCCTGCTTCACTAGGGGTCTAGAATGTTCACATTTATAATGTATCAAATTGAGAATTTAAAGTCATAGCTTACCAAACTGTGACTTTTGGGAACGAGGTGAAGACACATATGAAGTACGTTTTCAAGTGTGTTCACATCGAACAACGCATTTGAATGAACTCCTGGAAAAGTTTGGGCCAAACTTTGCAGGGGAGTTGTGACATTCAAAGGATGGGAAATGGCTTCCAGACGTCTGCACTGCACTATTCTGGTAGAAAAATCGGTCTCGAGAAATTCCCACCTAGCATAGAGATGTCTATTATCTGGGACACCTTCAGCACCAGTGACTGTTTCACGGCCTTAACAGTTGTGATCCTGGTTTAACCTAAGTTACCTGGTTTGTCCTGTACAGAGCTGTGCAAACATCCTGCACTGGCGTTTGCTCAGATAGAATTTGGATCTGTGGCTTGGTTTAGACAGCTTTAGTTAGCCTGAGTCATGAGCTTTCAGGGTCAAACTTTTGGCCGTATAACTCCTTGAATGTGTGTCTGAATGATGATCTGGTACCTTTTGTACCTTTTTGAAGAGCCTGCAAAAAAACATTGAACTCCTGTCACATAATGATTTTATGTGTCGTCAGCATCATTCTTTATATGACGCAGCATCTTTCTGTGAGGGTTCCTTTAGAGCCACACTTGAAAACAGTTTTTCTTTAGTAGGATCGGAGGTTCCGGCAAGAGTAAGTGACATCAGGAGGTTTTGCTGCACTTTGCTGCATAAATTTGCACAACAATGATGAAAACGGCGGTACATTAGGACTAAGTGCCTCTTGTTCAGTACAAGCAGACCTGGATGTAATAACTATAGATGTCCACGGTTGGATGCAGCTCCTGCAATGTAATATCGCCGTCCACTCACTGTTGTGCTAACTGTAATCATACGTGGGGCAATTATGTGGAAACATCACCGCCTGCTCCAGAACGCGCAACGAGCCTGGAAATGTAATGGGAAGTGGTGATGAAAGCTGGACGTAAAGTGTCTTGTTTGCACACACACACACACACACACACACACACACACACACAGACACAAACACACACAAAGCGTGCATAAGCGCGACTCACGAAGCCAAACAAGCTCAGACCTGAACTCAAACAATGCAGCAGTACCCATCTGTGATTGTTTACAGTTCATTTCAAACCMTGCCTTTGTGTGTTTTGAATATTAGACAAAGAAAACCCATATCTTGTGACCTCAAATGTAATTATACAGACTTGGCAATTTGCTGTTTTGGCACGTATCTTCTGAAAAGTAGCAAAATGAATGCACATAACAGGAATAACAGTGCATTATTGCAATATTAGCCGTGGGGATCCTTCCATGAAAACCAGCACTAAAGTGCCCAGTGTCTCATTTGTACCACCGATGATACATTGGCTTTATTAGCAAAATGTTTTCAAAGCGAAGCCTGCAAAAATCCATAAAATCTCACCCAGTTATTATTTATAAAATGGTCTATCTGTTGCAGCRTCCCCGAAGCTGCAGGTCATAAATATTCATATCTGAGAGCTCAACAACAGAATATCTTTTTTTCTTCTTCTTCTTCTTCTGGACAGCAATATTGATCGCTCTTTTGCATCTGTGAAGGTTCACCAAGACCTTTGAAGCAAGCAGGATTCAGAATTTCCCAAATGATATTTTTGCGACATCACACTTTTCTTACTTTTGAAATGGTACTGCCAACAAAAACTGAACAATAAGCCTTATTCAGGACAGATATTTAGACTTTAAAGAGAAAGAGATACGAGGGCTGCATTCCATTTAGAGGAAGTTCTGTTAGAAAGGGTTTTTTTTTTCACAGAACAACCAGAATGTGCAGCTGCTGAATTGAAATGCATCCCTTGTTAATTCAGCTGTCCTTTTCTGGCTACTTCCAGSCTAAATGTCAGCAGTTAAACAGGGCTCTTCTGAAACAAAAACAAATAGTTTAATTTCTGCACTGGGCAACATGGCTACTGGAGATTTTAGCTACTGTTTAAGGATAGAATTATTGAAAAGCCTCCCTCACAGGAACAATACTTGTAACATTTAAGTGTCAAAAGAAAACTAGAAGGCCCAGTTTGCTTATGTCAACCATTTCAAGTAAAGGTAATAGTTGACCAATCAAACTTATATAGAATGCTACCTTAGAAGCTTACACTAGTGAGAATGTTTTGTTTTTCTGTTCATTAAACATAGAAAATATGGAGCCAGTGACATTGGCTATCTATCTATCTATCTATCTATCTATCTATCTATC